ACAGGATGCATTGGCTTGAAAAACTAGGGCGTAATTCGTCTTTTTTATTATGCATACATGATTAATTTTACCCATTAACGATCCTGGAATTTTCCTAATATGTACAAAACATAGATCAAAAGGAAGGAGATAAAAAAGAACTTGCCTTTGAGATTTTGAATTAAAATCTCAACGTCATCTTCCTAGATTTTCCAGCAACCCTTAGCTGCTTTCAACTCCTTTGTTCTTTCTCTCTGCCTCCATTGTTACGTGAATAGGATTCTCAAACCCTTGGCAGACACAACCGTGTATATATATAATATAAGCTAACTCTAATCCCAATTAAATACTAAGTTGGCTAACTTAAGGGAAAAGAAAAGAAAATAGAAATATAAGATATGCATAATATATGTGTGTGTGTGTATATATATATATATATAAATTGATAAAAATTATAACAAAATAATCCCCTTATATACATATATACCCATATATACATGCTTAATTTCCATAGGTAATATCCATACCCATTAAGTGTCCTATCCAAGTAGTCCATATGACTCAATTGGATGGTCCATTACTATTATCCAAAATCATTAAAATAAAATAAAACCAAATAAAAACAACCATTTAATTCATAACAAATAAATTACAAGTAAGCACCTAACATTCAAATAATTTAATATACATCATTTAGCATACAATTTAAATAAACAATTTGTTGGTAAATACATGCTTCATGTAACATTTAAGATATAACTAACCCTATACTAATATGCCATAAGATATTTGTAATATGCTAAAAATAATTAATTAAATATTCAACTAGATATTTAACTAAACATGCAAATTAAAGTAATAAAATAATAATAATAAGTAAAGAATCTGGACCGAGGCTAGTATTGAATACTATGTCCTTAAGACAGATTCGCCCCATTATGGTGCTAACGGACTCAGTGACGTCATCTCCCAGGATACAACGGTCTACATTTACTAGTAGCAGTACTACAAACTCGTGGATATAATGAACCTCCTCCGTGCAATACTCTCTCTGACTAAAAAATGCATCTATACTATATAAATAATGAATTGGGTGCAATCCGAACCAAATGGCTCAGACCAAATTTAATATGGCTCAATAAATTGGTTTTGGGCCTAAGTGGCTAAGACCACTTGACCATGGCTTAAACCCACACCCACTTGGGTTGGGTTCATCTTGAGAGAGGGAGAGAAGAATGAAAATAAACAAATGCACACTTTTACAAAATGAATTATATGGCTATTTATAGAAGAATTGGTGACTCTTAAGGTTAAGTCATGTTGGTTCAGTCATTCGGTGCATCCAATCAACTATGGGTTGCATCCTATCATTATATAACTAAAATAACTTCCCCAATTATTAACCGTCAATTGTCACCTTTCAATCGCATCCCTTTGTTTCTTATTAAAGTCGCATCCCTAAACTTTCCAACCCATTCTCAACCACGTTGAATCGCGTGTCAAGAATTCGTTAAATTTCCAATGTCACCGACAATCATAACAAAAAAGTTGCGACTATCGTCATAGGTTTAGCCTATAATTGCTATGTTTTAACGTATATGACTTTGGTATAATCACATTGCAACAACATATACACAACGTTGTATTCTATACACAGGCAAGTTTCATTCACACATTAAAATACTAGTTTACACAACTAGTTTCCAACAATATTTATTTCAAAAAATCACATAAATAATTAATTCAAATAAGCAATTAAAAAAAATAACCAAGAAATCAAATAAATAATTTAAAAATGCAAGACTATCCTTTTAAAATTAGGGGTATTACAAAAACCGTCGGACTAAGCTTATCCACTGTATCTTTTCCACCCTACATGCTAGGGTTTGCTTACCGGATTGTTTGATTGATAACCACCATTAACGATTTCATTAGCCATTAATGTTGGTTTTTAGTTTAGGTACTGGATTGGGTTTTTATTTACTGGGTCTCCTTTATTGGGTTTAGCTCTTTATTTGGGGTTTTTTTTTTTTTTTTTTTTTTTTTGCCTGCTTTTGGGCTTTTGGCCGAAGGCCTTCCTTGTAATTACTTATTTTATTTAGAGCAATGCTTGGATCCTGCCTTATCGGGACAAGTTTTGTCTTCCATCCTGACGTGGCCCTATGAAAACTTGACCCCTGTCCAAAAAATAAAAAATGGATCATACTAGATCAAATTAGTTATTCGGGTAGAATCTCCTTCAGTTCTTCCTCTATCTTCTTCGCTGCCCTTTTTTACTTCTAAGGCCAAAAAGAGAAACATTGAAACCCAACACATCAATCCAAACAGACCTAAAACTTCAAATAAGAAAACCCACCAAAATTCATTCTCGATTTTTATGCAACAATTACAGAACCCGTGAAAGTATAGATTCATATATGCATATATATATCCCCCAACACACAGCTACAACTTGGTCTTTTTTTTTTAGCAATTTGTTTTTTTTTTTTTTTCTTCCATAAATGGAAGAACTAGAGGAATTTGTCATTACTTCTTTAGTAATTTGTAAATTGAGCCAAAATCCATGTAATATTCATTCTGCAAATGAGTAATTATTCTTTTTCTTCATTATAATCATAATAAGGGCTTTAAACCAAAAAATATAAACCTAGGTTCCTAAAATGTTTCGTCGAAGCAGAATAAAAGAAAACCCAGTAAAACACTGGCAGAAGCAAGGTTGGCAGTGCACTGAACTTACCGGCTACAACAAACGGCGACGCTAAACAACGGCGAGCACAATTAATTGCGATTTTCCGATGGCGATGCGCGATGAAGGAAATACTTTGACGGCGGTGACAGATTTGTGATTTTGGGGTGGAGGGTGGAGAGACGGCACCACTGTCGAGTTTTAATGTTTCTCTTTTTTGGCCTTAGAAGTAAAAACGGGTAGCAAAGAAGAGAGGAAGAACTGGAGGAGGATAAAATGAGTTTGTCTGATGGATTTTACCTGGGTAACCAATTTGATCCAGTATGATCCATTTTTTATATTTTGGAAATGTGTTGAGTTTTTATAGAGCCACATCAGGATGGAGGACAAAACTTGTCTTAATAGGGCAGGATCCAAGCATTGCTCTTTTATTTATATCATTTGTTTGAATTTTGAGGGGGAAAAAAAAAAAATACAGGAGTGAACAACTAAACACTCAATTTAATCTTAGCCAAAATGTATAGGCGTGGTGTTGTCCTAGTGTAAAGGGCCAGATCTTTAGAGCCCCACCATGGATCACAGGTTCAATTTTCCAGGGTTAAAAAAAAAAAAAAAGGGTTAATTATACCCGCACCCCCTGAGATTTGCCTTATTGACAGGCATATGAAAGTTGACCAATTTTTAAACATTGACACCCCCTCAAGTTTGTTCCATTTGACAAACACACCCATAAGCACCCCAACACATGTTAAAATGACTAGAATGCCCTTTGCCTTGTCAACTAACCAATGAAAATATTAAAATTACTAATTTACCTTTTTAACTAATTTTAATTAACTAAACTAACCTCTTTATCATTACACATAATTATATCATTTCTTTCACTTATACATACAGATAAATTATAGATATATACACAGAGAGAATGGAGGAAAGGAAAGGGTGAAGAAGAGGGTGGTTGCTACCTCCACTGGCGGCACACCACCACAACCACCATCATTATATTACCACCACCTAGTATTGCCACATCTACCAATGCCTCTCTCTCTACCCTTTTACCTTCATTGCCCCTCCACACCTACCACTACCATTCCACAGCTCCGCCACACCAACCACCACCACCACCAAAACTCCATATTCTATCACATCGCCCCACCACCATTGCCACTTCCACCAACACCTCTCTCTACGCTCTTACCTTCATAGCCCCTCCACACCTACCACCACCATTCCACAGCTCTGCCACACCAACCACCACCACCAACACTCCACACTCCATCACATCGCCCCACCACCATTCTACACCGCTATCACACTGCTTTGTCTGATTCCTCTAGACTTGTGCCTAGAAGAACCACTAAATTACCCCAACTTCCTTTACGACCTCCCTACCAACAGTTCGATTCCGGTGAGGGTGAACGGCTACGAGATGTGGTAGGTGGGCTCAGAGTGCGCAGATAATTCTTTACCAAATTTATTCCCACGTTCTAAATCCCTAATGAATGTCATTGTACCCCAACCCCAATCAACACATTTTTGTACGAATCAAACCCGACAATGATCGAAACAACCCCTCACAGACTTTGATTGAATTTGGGTTTCTTGCCAATGGGGAAATTTTCACAAAGAGACATAACCAGAAACCAGACTACTAATTTCCACAGCAACTTTCACATACTTTCATCATAACTTCATTGAAACCAATTAAAGCTTGTTTCTTCATTTTCATGCCATCCATTCTCATACTCAACAAAAAGTCCTTGACATAGAACCTCTTGTTGTTATGAGATGCCGCCGGACTTGGCCTCCAAACAACAATGGCGTAGTTGTGTGTGTGTGTGTGTGTATATATATATATAATATGTTTGACTGAGCTCAGTTTAAAGTAAAAATAAATATATGGTTATTATTACGGTAGGGATGGTGGGTGGTGGTAGTGGTGGTGGTGGTGGTGGAAGTTGCAGTGATAATGTTGGGTTCTTCGTGAAGGGTTGAGGGTAGAGAGAGTTAGAAAATTTGGGGTTTTCGGTGGGAGAATAGAGAAAGAAAATAATAAGTTAATTTTGTCATTTAAAATTTTTGATATTTTACATTATAAATTAATATTTTATTAAATGGTAATCTCGTCTTTACACACCTTTTAAGGACATGCTTGGATCAATTTTCTTTTACAGGGTGTGAGTGTTCAAAAATTGGCCAACTTTTATTTGCCAGTAAGGCAAACCTTTTGGGACCGCCCCGGGGGGGAAAAAAAAAAAAATCTGTGTAATTAATTAAAAAAAAAAAAAAATCAGCCAATATATATATATATATATATATAATTTTTTTTTTTTTTCATAAGCTTCTCAGCCAATATTTGCCTGCGAAGCAGCCGCACAACAGCAATACCCAGGGGTCCTCTTTGCTCTTGACCATTGTTTCTTCTTAAAACCCTAAACCCTGCACGAAGTCTTCTTCGGTTTCACCAGTGCGGTTCTATTCCTTTAGTTTAGATTATCAAAATATGCTTCCTGCCTTCAGTTCGCTCCCTTACAATTCCAACCAAGTCCAAATTGATAGAACCAGTGCTTCAGTCGCCCAACAGGTAACACTCTCTCCCTCCAGCGTTTTCTTTCCACTCTCTCTCTCTCTCTATATATATATATATTGTTCTTTCTAAAGTGATTTCTTATTTCTCTGATTATCTAATTTTATATGTTAAAATTTGCAGGTTATGCCATCAAATCAATGCCATGAGAATCCGAGTTGGCCCAATTCCATGCAAATTCAGCCTCAAATGGGTACATTCAATCCTCAAACTGCAATTCCCTTCAATAATACTAATAGCAATTTTGGCAATGGCACCATAGCAGTGCCCAATAGGCCGAGTTCGGCACCTTCACCTTCTTTCATCAATGCCCCCAATCATCTTTTTCCTCTGCAAAATGGTGTGTCCCTTTTGGGTTCTTCACCCGGTGGGGTTATGTCTCACCCGGGTCAGTGCCAGGGTGGTTTCAGTCATCAAAATTTGAATTGCATCCCTACATCAGTACAGGGTATGAATTCTGTACCGAGTATGAATGTAATTAATCCCTCTCAACAACCTGGCCAAATGTTTGCTCTTAATCCTATGAACATGCCTCAATATTTTAACCAGAATGCCAGTATGCAAAGTGGGCAATTTTACATGCAGAGTCCAATGCAAAATATTTACCAGTTTGTCCAACCGCAGATGCCACCGCCTTATGGTCAAGTTGTTCCTTGTAGTCCCATGCACCCAAATAATATTTCTCATGCTATGGGTCCTCAAAATCCCAACTTTATGGCTAATCCCCAGTTTGGTCTGGTGCATACGAATGGAGCTATGCAGGCCGGTGCCCAAAATCAGCATAATTTTGTTCTATCAACAATGGATGTTAATGCATTGAAACATACCCCTACTACTACTCAGCAGCAATTAGGAGGGAACTCATCTTTGCCAATTGCTCTTGGGTCAGCTCAATCGCAACAAGTCCCGCAGAATTTCCGTCCTCATGTTCTCATGAATTCACAGGTACTTGGTGTTGCCTTCTCTGCTTGTCTCACTATCTTTTTATTTATTTTAGTTAAGGTAAGTAAGACACACATCCACCCACTTTGTCCCAACTGGGACTTGAATTTAAAACCCTCTTTTAGTGAAGGTGGAACAGATAATGATCTAGCTAATGCTTGGTGGTTATTCTCAATACTCGTCGAAGCATTTGAACTGATTTATCAACTCATTAAAGTAGTGGGCAAGCCCACCATCTTCATATGAAGTCATATGTTTACCGCTTAAAAGATGTGAATTGGTTCCTTGATATCAATGTTCTTAAACCTGAACTACCTATCAGCCGGAAAAGAGACAAGGACAAGAGTCAAGTTTCAACGGTTGGGTCAACTGTATACAAACTGTAATGTCATAATGCATAATTTATATATTATCAGTAGCTATATTAATTCATATTAATTTAATAAATTAACAATTTGGAAAAATTACAATAATATTAGATTTTATATTTATCTTGTTCCTACCACAAAATTACCAGAACTTTGTACCAAAAGCTCAACAAAATATCCATCTATTATTCATTGATCAAACTAATTAAAACACAAAATTAAATTGAAAGTGATATAATAAATATTGGAAACTGCTGAAGCAAATGATAGGTGAGTATTACTGAATACAAAATATTTATTCTTCCAAAGAGAGGGATGAACAAGCAAATTATGACAACTCTTATAAAGAAAGACCTGTCATGCAAAAGTTGATGAACTTTTTTTTTCACTTGAAGTACGAAAGTTTTTCAATTCCAAGATTCTATTGTGGAGAAAAAGAGTGTATAAATGATTCTAGAAACATAGGATTTTTTGCAGATAAAGAGATGCAGGATGATGCTTCAAAGCCGATAATCATGCTACCCAATGATTAAAATGGTGGGCTAGGTCACTGTTTTTAGGATTTATGATTCAGAAGGTAATATTAGAAAAAAGGGATAAATTTTGGATTGAATTGGTCGAGGGTAATTCTCGGGAGAGAGAAGATTCATGAGATAGTGAAGACAGCTAGGTTTCGATCATTGCTCATATACCGAGGTTGTAAAAGTTCCTAGCATTTCTTGAAGTGTAGTAGTGAGGTGACAAACTCAGAAAGGGGTTTGATTTTGCAGTGGATGAGCATCGTATTTGGCGAGAAAGAGATGTTTTGTAATGCTGCTTGGTGGGGAAATTCGATTGTGAAATGGGGAATCTTGTACAATTCAAAGATTGGGCACCTAAGGCTTGGAAGGTAGCCAGTAGCATAGCAGTTTTATTCTTGCTTGATTCACTGTTGTAGTTTTGATTGCCATCCCATATAGAAGTTATTTGGTTTTGTTGGACCTAAAAAGGAGATGGGGGGATGTGACTTTTAGGCTAGTCATGTAGTTGTTTAGGGTGGGTTGTTTGGGAATCTTGAGGGAGGAGAGAAGAATTCAGTTGTATTGTCTCCCTCTACACTTGTGGTGTAATGCTTTGTTCGAAGTTATTGAAGATGATTGTGGGGCCTTTAAAGTGGAGGAGGCAAATGAGAGGTTTGAATCTAGTAGAATCACAATTATGGTTAAGGAGGGTGGATCGATTCTGGAGGCAATCTTGGTGAATGACGAGAGGCTTAGCTATCGGGTTTATTTGTCAAAAGAGAAAATGGCAGAGCTAGTTCCATCAGGCGATGAGTCTCCATAGTAGAGATGAGAGCTCTTTCATGATAGAAGACGAGTGGTGGTGGTTGAACGGACTGGGGGAAGGAAGAGAAACGAGGTGGAGCTTAAGAGAGAATAGAAGTTACTGCAAATTTCGTCGCATGTGGAAGGTAGACTACGGAGGGGGAAATATATGTGTGTCATGTGTGAGAAGAGGGCAAACGAGAGGACACGTGGGGTGCAAGCATGTGGGGAGGTGGCGACAAGTGGGTCTCAGCTGGCAATATTTTATATTTCAAACAAGGGCGATCACGTGAGGAGGAGGCCTTAATATCATTATGGGCTTTTGTGAACTGGGCTAAATGTTGTGGTGACAGCCCAAGACAGTTGGCCCAACTTGATTTCCAAATTAATAGGAGGAAACAAAGATGACTTTGGGCTGGCCCAATCCCATGATGGGCTTCAACAGGCTAAAGTTAATAAAGCCCATAACTCTAGGAACTATAGGAATTGGGCTTCTAATCGTCCTCAAGAAGAGAAAAGTTCGACACGTATCAAACTTTGTAGTTAAATGATCTTGTAAATACTGGTTTATTGCTTATGAGTTAAAATTTGTGGTTGACTCTTCAAGCACAATTACTTTATCAGGTCAAATTTTCTAGTTTGTCATCCCATCCTTTTGTTATATATATTTTATAAAAAATTTAACTTTGATTTCATACAGAGGCAGGTTCGGTGGATAAGCCCAACTAGCGTCAAACCCAGTTAGAAACATCCATGACCTATGATTATTCCAAATCCACGTGTCTTTTCTTCATTTTTCTTTTAGAGATCGCTGGAATCTACTAATTGATCAGTACAATAATATATTATATATCTCCCAAATTTTACGGGAATTCCGTCAAAAAATCGTATTTTTGCTCATTTTATATATTACATTTGTCTTTTCAAGTATTTATGCCAAAACCCAATGTCATAATTGTGTCCTCTTTATGTGGATGAGTTTGAGTACTTGGTTAATTTGAGTCATTGACTATCATCAACGGTTTCAGGGCAATTCGGGAAAAGATGGTGGGATTATTAATTCAAATTTGAACTGGAATAATTCTCAAAATCGGAACTGGAAAAGGAATCCGGAAAGAGATGCAATGCACAACAAGTATGTCTATTTTGGTTCTTGTTATTCTCTTTTTATATTGTGCAAAAGTTTGGACCAATAAATTGTAATGTGCACTGAATTCAAATTTCTGAAGAATTTCGAAGACCCAGCCTCATCATAGACAAAATGCAAAGGGGAAGTTCGGGTTTCAAAAAGAACATGGGGGAAAAGGTCAGGAGTTCTCATAGCTTGTTATATAGCTTTACCGGCTTTAGAGTTTATGGTTTTCCTAAATGATATATCAGTAACAATATGTTCATCTTTGTCCATGCCTGTGTATGTTTGTCGGGTTGCTAGTTTAGAAACATGTTCTATGTTGTGTTTGGTCAACTGTAGAAATAAACAGTAAAAGCTGGTTTAATTTGTAATATATAATTAAGATATATATATATATATATATATATTTGAATGACATAATAGATAACGTACAAGATATTATTAAATAGGTAATGAAATATTTAAGCTAGTCTAGTATTTTAGATAAGTTGGAAAAAGCAAAGAGATAAGGTAATAGAATAGTAGTGGTAATTTGTTGTGGGTGTATATATATATATGTGGTGGGGAGGAACCTCGTTTTTGGTGTTAAAATTGTCCATTCTTCACTATTTTTTTTTTTTGGGTTGAGGGGGAGAGATTGTAAATCTTCGGAGGATCTTGTTCTCGTTTTTGGTGTTAAAATTGTCCATTCTTCACTCTTTTTTTTTTTTTTTGGGTTGAGGGGGAGAGATTGTAAATCTTTGGAGGATCTTGTTCTCTTCGTGGATGGCCTGATGGTATGGGGGTTCTTTGGCAATTGGAGTTTATTGTTTTTTGGACGTGTTTCCTTGGGCATGCTCCCCTTTTGAGCGCTTTTAATGAAGTATTACTTGTAAAAAAAGTATAGAAATGTATACATACGTGGAACAACTATCCTTTGCTAACTTCCTGTCAAAAGCGTGTGAGTGAACTAGCCAAACGTGAAATATGCTTTACATGTTGTGGAAAAGGAAATAACTCATAGGTCGAATTTCCTCGAGGAAGGCTAAAGAAACATTTGAGTATTATTGCTAAATATGCCCAGATGGAGCAAGCTTCCATTATTTGGTATAGGGGAGAAGGGAAGAGGTGAAGCATGGGAGGATGGATGAGGCAGCCATTTGGGGCCACCATTTTGTTTCCTTCCAAGGAAGAGGGGAGAGAGAAATAAGGGATCTGTTGAAATAGATTGAGAAAATTTTATCATCCCCATTTAAAGTATTAATTTATGTATTTTATTGGTACAGTGGTAAAGTGATAATATCCATCTGTTAGCAGATATGATAGCCACAATTTGTGGAATGACTTACCATATTAGCAGAGATTTGATTATGCTATAGAATAAGCTTTGATTTAGATTTGATTTAATTTCCTTTCTTGTAATATGAGCATGTGTTCTTTTTATCTATAAATACTAGAGTTATGAATGAGTAATTTATCTCATTCAAGCCTTTACATAATTCTTTCTTTCTTCTATATTGTATTTCTACTTGGTATTAGAGCTACGGTGGTTCGACTGCAATGAGGGCATTGCGAGTTTAGCACCACCCATTCGAGAATGGTCTAAGGTGACATCGCTCATCCAGGAGGTGTCGGGTAGGCAGGATGGTCCAACCTCAATGAGGGCATTGCGAGTTTGGCACCACCCATTCAGAAATGGTTTGAGGAGACATAGTAGTTTTTTTTTTAATGGTCTTAGGAAACATTGTTGATTCTTTCATCTACATTGTTTAAACATATGTATGAAGGAGAATGGTCTAAGGAGACATTATTGATTTTTCCATCTACATGTTTTAAACATGTGAAGGGAAATGGTCTGAGGAGATATTGTTGGTTGTTTACGGTCTGAGGAGACATTGTTGGTTGTTTATCGGTTTGAGGAGACATGATTGGTTGTTTATGGTCTGAGGAGACATTTTTGATTTGTTGATCGGCACTTTTAATCTAGTCAGATTTACACTCTGCAACTTGTAGATTCTGAAGAAGGGTGCTAGTAAGACCGTATTTGAAGATGTGTTGTCCAAGTTGGGCATCTCAGATATCCACGCACCAACTTGAGGGGGAGTGTTAGCAGATATGATGGTCACAATTTATGGAATGACTTACCATATTAGCAGAGATTTGATTATGTTATAGAATATGCTTTGATTTGATTTAGATTTGATTTAATTTCCTTTCTTGTAATATGAGCATGTGCTCTTTTTATCTATAAATACTAGAGCTATGAATGAGTGATTTATCTCATTCAAACCTTTTACATATTTCTCTTCTTTTTCTTCTATATTTTATTTCTACTCCATCCCTTTCATTCCTTTCTACTCAACCAAAAATAAGAGGGATGGACACCTTTCTTTCCCCAGCGATATCTCTTCCAGCCTCCCCCCCTCCCTTTCCCTTCCCTTTTGATAACTTTCATTAAAAGCACTCAAAAGTGGGGCACAACCAACCATGTAATTATACCCTATACTCTCAAGCTATTAACAAAATCAATTTACTCCCCCAAGGATTTTTAATTTTACCATTTGACCTAAAAAATAAAGAACTCGAAATAGAATATCTCAAGACCGGATTAGGAGTTTCCTCCCCATCAGTTCGTCTTTTGTATATGCGATAAGTTGGAATTTTAGAAGATGTGTGATATTTAATCAAAGTGGGGATCAAACTTGAACGAACTATTTATGGGTTTACTAGAGCTGGGAAAACCACTCTCTCTGATTTCAACAAAGAACAATGAAACTGTGGTTCATTCCTTGTCAAGTCAAGTTGTAGTTTGTTTGTTTGTTTGTTTTTTTTTTTTTTTTTTTTTTTTTTTTTTTTTTTTTTTTTTTTTTTTTTCTCTCTCATGAAGTTCAAGAAGAATGGGTTTTTGTTGCAAGGTGAGAATTTTTGTCCTGATTTTGGCATAATTATTGAAGTATCAGGATTTGCAGTATATAGATTGAGCAAATTTCATGTCGTGAAAATACCTTCTACTTATCATTTAATGTTAAATTAAAAGCATAATTTTATTTGTCACTCGTGCTAAAGGATTGCATTAGTAGAGTGTTAATAATTAAGAACAGGTTAGGGTGTTGTAAATGCTGAAAAATGTGTGAAAATTGTTTATCAATTTTCTTATAACTTTGCTTAGGATCTTGTTAATTGATTTCTTGTAATTTTTTATTTTTTTTCCCAAGTGATTTCTTGTAACTTTGTTTAGAATATTTTCAGTAGATTGCTAAAGCTGAAATAAAGGAACTTGAAAGTTGCACGACACCAAGTGAAAGTTGTTTGGAAGCATATGCAATCATAGATTATATAGACTTAAAGTGGGGGAGTGTGACTAGGTACTGAAATCTTTTGCCAGTTGATTTTCTTTCTGCTAACCAATATAAACATACCACCAAGCAATCAATCAATCAAACTAATAGCAAAAGTAAAGCAGTAAAGACTTTTGGACACCACCAACTTTTACGTGGAATACCTCAGCACAGAAAAACCATAGGACTCAGTCCATTTTCAAAAATTGTAACCAATGCACTCATTGAAGAAAGAGTACAACTTTACGTAATCAATTTGGACCATTAGGGGTTGTAAAATTTGAGACGACCTGTCAACATGGCTCGATCCCAACACAAAATTAGTTTTTATAAAGAACAGGTTAGGGTGTTGTAAATGCTTGGAAATGTTTGAAAATCGTTTATGAGTGCATTGGTTAAAAAAAAAAAAAAAAAAAAAAAGAAAAAAATCGTTTGTTAAATTTCTTATAACTTTGGTTAGAATTTTGTTCGTTGATTTCTTGCAACTCCGCTTGAATTCTTTTCAATAGATTGGTAAAGCTAAAATAAAGGAACTTGAAAGTTGCACAACACCAAGTAAAACTTGTGTGGAAGATTATGCAATCATAGATTAGAAAAGACCTAAAGTGGGAGGGTGAATTGGCACTGACATATTTTCCCAGTTGATTGATTTTATCTTAGCCAATATATACATACAACCAAGCACTCAATCAACTAATAGCAAAAGTAAAGAAGTGAAAACTTGTGGACACCACCAATTTTATGTGGAATACCCCAGCAGTGAAAAACCATAGGACTGAGTCTATTACTGAACAATGCACCATAGGATTGAGTCTACTACCAACCGATGCACTAACTAAAGAAATATTACGACATTAGCTTGCCAATCCAGACCATTAGGCGTTGTAAAATTTGACACAACCCAATAACCCAATTTTTAAACGCTAAACTAAATTACTAATTAGTGGGTTATGGATGTCCTTGTCATGTTCATGTCATTATCGTGCAACTTGATTAATCTTTTTAATTAATTGTGTTATGTTCGAGTTTGAGAGCTCAACATTTTTAATTAATCGGGTCAGGTTAATCTGATTTGACTGTGCCTTGTTTCATATTTGAATTAGTATGGTATTATAGCGAAACCCTTGGTTTATTGCATGATTTATTGAAATAAAATGAAAAAAATAGTAATTTTTTTAGTTTATATCTGCATTTTATATTTAATAAAAAATAGTAAATAGATTGTTAAATGGGTTGTCTTGTGTTACAGAGACCCATTTATTAAACAGTTAAAACGGGTAAGGTCATGTTACCTATTTAATAAATGGGTCATGTCCATAGTTACCCCAGGTTTAGTCAAGTCGGCCCAGCTAACGAGCAAGGAACAAGATGGCAAGCGGGATCAGTCGGCTAGGGGTAGCTAGGCAAAGGTTGGGGAAAAACATAGGATTGGGATGTGGTGTCTGTCCTTGACTTGATAGATTAATTTTTAGTTTATATCTTCATTTTATATTTAAGAAAAAAAAATAGTAAATAGATTGTTAAATGGGTCTTGTGTTATAGCGACCGATTTATTAATCAGGTTAAACGGGTAAGGTCATTATACCTATTTAATAAACGGGTCATGTCCATGTCTAGTGTGTCTAACACGTTAATTAATGGGTCTTGTTCAGGTTGAGGCATATAGCAGAATACTTTTATTTTGACACGGCGCGAATACGACCCGTAACACAAATTGCCCCCACCTCCAGACCGTACTCCCTAAAATCACTAGTCAGCTGAATCTCAAAAGACAATCTACTATATTTCTCATGTATATAAGCCTCATATCAAATTGAAGACCCAAAGCCTTTATATTAAGTTTAGGAGGATTGCTCCTCTTCAGAGGGGGTTGATCTTTGACCTTGAAGGTCAGTCCTCTCTAGGAGGGATTGATCTTCCATCAAGGGGGAACTGCCCTTACCTGGAGAGGTCAATTATCAGCTGCTGACGAGGTTCAGATTGGGTCTCTTTTTGTATTTTCTGGGTTATAAGCTGTTCTCAGCCATCAGGATGTTAAGACACTTAAAAAATCACTTTGTAGTCTATCCAAGTCTATCTTATGTCATTCATGGGTCGTTTGAACTTATTTAACCAAAGCTTTTCAAGTGGTGCACTCAATTGCATCTTGCCTTCCCTAATGTGTGATCAAGTTGATTAAAGACTGTTGAATGTAGTGACTAGGCAATCTCAATGCGATATTAAGGGAGCGTCATCATACCAACTAAATTTTTTTTTTTCAAAACATCATGGGGAATCATCTGGACCAATAAATCAACTGACTGACTCAAATGCATAAAATGACCCAAATATTACAACCATATTTTGTTCATGGAAATTGCCAACACACACTTACACTAGTGATTCTACAAAATTTGTTCTGATTTGGTTTTTAGGGAGAGGGCATTTGTGTTTGCTGTTAACTTCATCATCAACAATCAGAAATCAGGTTGTGTGCTTTTTGAGTTTGTGTTCTGGAACCAGAGATGATCTATATTGATCTGCATATTGGTGTTGGCACCTAAGGTGGTGTTTGACTTGCATATTTATTGGCATGTTCACTAATATAGAATGAACTAATTCGGTTGTTTTTTAGTTACGTGTCTGAGTGGAAATATATTATATCTTCTTAAAAAATAATATTGACTCTGTTCTGAATGTATTTGTTTGGCTAGACTCTAGAGTATATTGTATTTTGGTTGCTTATGCATGGACCCGGTCTACCAGTTGTGTACTCTTGCCTAGTCATGCATAATGAGAATTGTGAGACGTGGATAAAAGCTTGTAAAAGGCTTGGTTTTTGCTCTGAAGTCCCATTTTTTTATGTTCGCCTTTTGTCTGCTATTAGTTAAGTACAAGTCTTTCAAATGGTCTACCAATATCTTGCATGTATCTTTAGCCATTATGTTATTTAACTTTTCTATCCCTAGTACACTTAGGGTGTTTGATCGTGTTCAAACTTTTCTTCTTTTTTTTTTTTCACTTTTCCCAAAAACAGGATATAACAATGACAGAGCAAGAAAATCTGGTGTCACTAATTCTTCCAACCAAACTCCGGTGGAACAGAGAAGGTAATTTCTGATGGGCTCAACAATTTATTTTCCTTTCCATGTAAAAAATAATTCCCATTGTTTGCTCATTTTAAGGACAACTTTGGAAAAAGTAACTGGAAATGAAGTTCCACCATATATTCTATCAGGGAAAAAGACGAGGATAAAGAAAAATTGAGCCCATCTGTAGTGATTGGTCTCAATTAAAAAATGCATTGGAAGCACCTTTTAGTAATATTAAAAAGGGGAAAAGGAAAAAGGATGAAGAATAATTGTACAGAGGAAACGAAGTTTATAACTATTTATGTTAAAAATTTAACTAATAAGATTTGCACTTGTCTACAGGAAACACAGGAATTTTGCAACTTCCGGTAGCCACTGGAACAACTTCTTTCTTTACTTTCTCTCTCTTACATTTTTATTTTATTTTATATTAATTAATTGTTTGTTTAAAGTGAATTGAGATGACCTTTGAGCATCTTTTGTCAGGCGGATAAGCATTCATGAAATCCAATTTTCGAAAATCAGTCAAATCTTTCACGATCAATGTAAACAATTTCCTCAACATTATGCAGGCTTCACTACTGCAAACGCACTAGTTTCTACAAGATTCAAACAAAATAATGCCTGGAAAAAAATTAAGTGTCAAAAGCGCAAAAGTTGTCTTACAGTGCTAATGGTTGCATGACAATCTCATAGCACCCAACTCTTTCATTTACTACAGTACTGTATTTCAGTTAATGCTAATTTGATTGACAAATACAAGTCATATTTATTTGCTCTGGTTTTTTAATTTTTTATTTTCTTCTTTCCTTTTTGAATACACACACACACACACACACGCACGCACAATATCTTTACTATATTTTTTCTATGTGCTCTTCTTTATCTCCTTCCTTCTTCACTTGAAGATCTCTCCGTTTGAACTACACCGAACAAGAAATCCAACAGTGGCGAGAAGAACGCAGGAAGAACTACCCATCAAAAGTCCACATGGAGAAGGTTTGATCATCTGTGATGCATGCTGTCCTTAATTCTTATTTGTAGTAAGGATCACTCTGACATTGTTTACTTCCTGCAGAAGCTGATAGAATCTGAAGTCATTGAGAGATGCGCGAAGTTACGACGCCAGGTACACTGATCTATTTTACATTTGCAAACATGAAATTGGCATCTACATATCGGAATTGAATAGAAAAGTCGTTTGGTCTAATGCTTTTTATTTAATGAATTGTATCTGACATTGAGGGTGGGCCTTTGTGCAATAGTAAGGTTGCTCCATTCTGACCTTGGTGGTCACTTCGAAACAGGAAACTGCCTCTCCGCATGCGGGGTAAGGCTGCATGCATCTAACCCTTCCTTGAATCCGCAATCGTGGGCGCCTCATGCACTGGGCTAGCCATATCTGTATTTCTACTTTTAGAATTAAACTGTCACATAATTTATGGAGTGTAATTTTAGTAAATCTAAAAATAAGGTAGTGAAGATTGAGGATCAAAAGGTTAAAAGAAGTGATTTTTGGGACTCGTTGAGAGTTTAGAGGTTGTATTTGGCCTTGTGTAGCTTTTGAGGGATGCGTTCCCCTTTTGAACGCTTCTTAGTACAATTTTACTTATAAAAAACAGAGGTAAAAAGAAGTGAGCATTTCTGTTATTTGGGCTCAATTATTCATAATGAAAGAGAAATTGGAGATGAAGTTAATCATAGAATTAAGACAGAATAGGTTAAATTGAGGAGTACATTCAATATATTGTGTGATCAGCGTACTCCGTTAAGATTAAAAGGGAAGTTCTATAAAACAGCTATAGACTAGCTACGCTTTATGGAACAGAATGTTGGACAATTAGGAAACAACATGTGCATAAAGTGAGTGGCAGATGTGCAAATATTGCAATGGATGTCTGGCAAGACAAGAAAAAATTAGAAATGGCCAAATTTGTGAAATGGTTGAAGTAGCATCAATTGGAGATAAATTGAGAGAAAATCGATTTAGATGGTTTCAACATGTACAATGAAGAAACTGTGTGCCAATTAGGGAGAGTGACATAGTCCACATAGAGGGTAATACTAGGGGAAGGGAAAGATCAATATTAACGTGGGTAGAGTTAGTAAGGAAGGGATGTTAACATATTGTTTGACTGAGGTTATGAACTTAAATAGAGCGGAATGGAAAAATATGATTCATGTATCCAACTCCAATTAGTTGGGAAAAAGGCTTTGATTCATGTAGCCGACTCCAAGTAGTTGGCAAAAAGGCTTTGTTGAGTTGAGTTACTAATGTCACAGCACAGTGAGCACATTGGGAGAAACAATCTCTCACAACCTGAGGGAATAGGCAACAAGAAAACTATCTAACATGCTATAGTAGCCGAACCTCTCACGATCTGAAAGGCTAAGGCCAGACAAAACAACGAACACTTGCATTCTTCTTTTTGGTACGTTGCTATGAGCAACTCTAGTGCTTGATCTTGGGCCTTTGGCATGGCTTGAATCATGATAAAGAAGGTTCAGTGGTTGTATATTTCTCAACCAGAAAGTCGTCTGCTTGCAAAGTAGATGGAGTGATTAAGTGCCTCTTCCTGCGCCGACATACATCCAATGGCATAGAGTGATATGTCGGTTTGAACATGGAAATTCTGATTGCCTTCCTTCCAAAGTTCCCAAACTGCAAAAATAGGAAGCATAGATGCGAAGCTGGCCAACTTGGGATTTTCTTTGAGAACTGTTAAACTGTCGGGGACTAAATGGAATCCCTTTCGAAGGATTTGATGTTGAAAAGGCAATCCAAATAGTTTCAAACTTCCATAGCAAGCTCACTATGAAGTCTTTCGGATTGCCCTATTCGAGACTAATGGCATGTTTGGTTGAAGGGAAGGATTGAGGAGGGATGGATGAGAGGGGGATAGAAGAGTGTTTTCGTGTTTGGTTGGAGGGAAGGGAGGAGAGGGAGGAAGCAATCCCTCCTTCTTTGTATTTTTCTATCCGCCCAAACTGGGGGGAAGACGAGAGAAAAAATGATAACTAACAACTATTAAGTAATTTTCATTCTTAACCTTTTTTAAAATTTGAAATGAATATCATTTTTATAATTGTATATAATAAGGGTATGTTAGTAAAAAGAATATAAAAACTCTCTTTCCCTTCCTTCCTTCCAAACAAGAAAAAATGTTACTCTATCCATCATTTCTACTATCCATTTCATTCAACCAAACAAAAAGTGAGGGAGGACCTTCTCTTCCCTAGGGATGCCTCATCCGTCCCTCCCCCTCTCCCTTCCATCCATTGCCTCATGGTAATTTCTATCATTTTTTTTTTGGTGTCATATCCTATAGTTTCAGATATCAAACTGGACGGTATCGTGTATGAAGAAAGAGATTGTTGATGTTAGTATACTAATCTATTTATGTAGAGATGAGCGAGCATAGCACGATCAAGGTAGATTGCTAACTCTCACCATTTGCCAATCGATCTGCAAGAACGTAAAAATATCAAAGTGTCTTCAAAGGGTGATTGTGGAATAACCGCGAGAGGGTGCACATCATAAAAGCCCAATTCTCCTTTGCAAAGCAGATCAGGAAAAACCGCTCACAACTGCTCTAGCAACCTTCTTTCCATCTCTTGCTTTGTTTGCTTTGCTTGCTAGCTAGAAGGGTACCGCAAGCCAAATACAGAAGCCCTAAGAGAAGCAATAACCACCATAAGCGCAAAAGAAAAGCAGCCGAGGGAAAGAGGGCTGGGAAGGAAGAGGTGAATTGCCGATTTCTCATAAATGTGCTACAGGCCTTGCTATGGGTGTTCGTAGTTATGGCTCTCAAAAGAGCTACAAACTCACCAAGTTGAAGTTTTTTTTTAGTTCTATTTCCAGTCTGGAATAATAATAGACTGAACCGATCTTTCTGATAAACCAGATTAAATATACGGCAGGAAACTATTAGTTTCTTTCAGACATTACTTTCTTCTCAAGGTTTGGTGCTTGAAGATGAGATCCTTGATACCACCAGAGGTAGATAATAAGATGCTTACGAACACCCCTCCTAATATGGAAGAAGTTCAAAAGGTAATTTTTAGCATGCCGGCCCACTAACCCAAAATAAAGACCTCCCTTATCATTTAAAGCTTAATTGCTTTCCGGGTTCTATTTTAAATCTTTTTGGGATTTCATAAAATAAGATCTCTTCCAGCAGGTCACTTATTTCTTCACTGAAGGTACGATCCCCCGGTCCATCATTCCTACTTTCCTTGCGTTGATTCCTAAGATTTTTCTCTGTGACTACCTCTATTTAAAGGTAATCTAAAAAATATCTCTGGATTGAGTTATAAAAAAAAGGTAGTAGGAGATGAAAACATTGTTGACCAGTAGAGGGCGGCTTATTTTGCTTAAACACGTTCTCTCGTCGATGCCCATACACCTTCTTGCAGGGTTTCCAACTCCAAAGGGAGTTCTTGACTAGTTGGAAAAAATGTTAGCTAACTTTTGGTGGGCTGGTGATGAAGACCAAAGAAAACTTCACCGGATATCTTTTGATACTATGTGCCTTCCTATTTAGGGAGGGGCTTTGGGTCACCCTACTAGTACAACGCCGATGCGCTGGGCGAATTCTGCTCCAAAAAATGTAGTGGTCTAATGCTATTTTTATAAAAAATATGCTTCAACATTCAATCATCGTTCATCGAGCGCTCTCATCTGCCTTCCATGTATGCCTTTGTGGTGGTTATTGGGAGCAAATGAAGAGGAACACAAGAACCCCCACACAAGGAAACATAAATTCCGTGTAGGTCGTTATACCAATCAATTGATTCGGTCAGAATTGTCAGAAACCTACTGTCAATTGATCATTACCAATAGCAAATGGAATGAAGTCACGGGGAATTATAAAGGTAGATGTGCCAAATCAAAACCTTCTTCATTATTGAAATAAGATTGCTTCGCTTTGGAAATCTAGGGATTTCATGGAGAGCTGCAAACTTTGATCTTGAATGCCCTGGGTAGGGCACCTTGTTCATGTGCGTAATTGTTCATTGGGACATGGCTTTCGTGCATGGCTCCTAGTCTTATTAAGGAAGAAGTAGGGGCCTGAAATTGCTAAAAGAAGTAGTAGCCGCCCACCCGACACAAATTGCTTCTACGGTTAGCTTATGATGTATGACTGTAGATTCTATGATTTGGTATCGCTATAAGGAGAGGGGTCGGGGCTATGTTAGGATGAGATTGAACTTCTCAATTCCATGGGGATCCAACGAAATAAAAAAGAAGCAAAGATTAGGACTGCACTAGCCACCTAGTCTCAGCCAGAGTCAATGAGAAGGGACCAACCCTTAACCGATTTTTTTTTTTTTTTTACCATTTGCGTCATGTCCTCTATCTCTTTTGATATATAATGGTTGGCTCTGTCTCTAATCTCTTCAGCTTCGACCAAACGACTACTTCACTTCGTCGATTGCTGTGAGCACAACACTCACTCTGATACTGGTCCTCTTTGGCTTTGGAGTTGATTTGTATGATCAACCCTCAGGTCAGGAGTTTGAGGGTTGGTAGAGGAAAAATAGAGAACCCTCAGTCTGGTCAGTATGGAGAGTCACCAATCACCAACAGGTCAGTAGTCTAGCGGTACCAGGCTCCTACTTCCCAAAGGGAGGTCAGGGGTTTGAGCCTCGGTGGAGGCATGTGTGTGTGTGAGTCACCAATCCTGCAAGTCAACGGGCAATGCCTGTAAATCAGACACTGCTGCTAAGTAAGACAAGAAAAGCGCTTCGCTTGGTTGTCAGGTTGGTAACTAAGGTTGTGGCGTGGAATGTTCAACTACAAGGTGCTGTATGCCGGCCAACTCGGAAGAAAGAAAGCAGCCCCTTGTATAGGTTGGTATATGCAGGTAGCATAATCACTCTGATATAATCTCTTGAAGAAAATATCCTAACCATAATTTTTTAAGATTTCTAGACAGAATCTAAAATGAGAAGCGAGGGACCCATTCAATATATATATATATATATATATATATATATATATATATATATATATATATTATTGATCTGCTTGTGCTTTACAGATCGATTGCTTTTATGTCTGCTGTATCATGAAAATGGTACATAAATCTGTCCTGTGAAGGCTTTGAGGGGAGACTTTAAAGCTCATTGCTGCTGTTTAAAGGAGATGGAGACCACAATCTGAAGGGGCTGGAAATTTGAGGGTTCCAGTTCAAGAAGGATTAGGAAGCTAAAAAGCTCGGTCTCTTCAGTTAACAATGATGGGAGGGGGGCAAGACAATGGTGTAGAAGGAAGGGTTGGAGTGGGGACGAAGGGAGGGGGCTGTTAATTTCCTTCTCCCAATCATTGTGAAGCTACAAGGAATATCATGGAGTTTTTTGAAAATTTAGTGATCCATACAAGAGAGTAGAGTTGAAGTCAGTTTTGTTGGAGTGATATGATAATGTGGCGTGTTTATAGGAAAAGAAAATGGAAGTGATCACCAAGGTCTAGGAGTCAATGGGTGGAAGATTTCTTGATTGGAGCAGTTGGTGCTGCAGAAGGAATCCTTGATGTGGGATAAAGGGGCGGTGGAAAATGACTACTGTTAGAGGTTGTTCAGCTTCTTACCTTTTGCTAATGTTGAAAATGGTTCTAGCATGACCTTTTAGTAGTGTAGGGTCAACAAAAGATGCAACGAGGGGTTTTGTTTTGGGGATATGGTGAGAGTGAGGACTAGATGGGAAGGATTTAGTGTATCAAGAGGACGTTAATGTGGTCAGATATGTGAGTGTTTGGGTGCTCAAGGATTACCATGGTCATTAGAGAGAGTGTTGACCTAGAAAGTTGTATGGGATGAGAAGATGGAATAATTTGAGATGAGACGAGAAGAGAGAAGGGGAATAGAAAATGGACGAAAATGGGTGAGGAGCAAGAATAGGGGTGGGAAAAGAATGGCGAGGAGAGATCTTTGAAAAGACAATAATTCTTTAAATCAAGTCTGCATAATTCTATTAAATTAGGGCCTTCAAAAGAAGCAAACTAAAACCCTAAAAGTGATACCAACTGGTTGTGGAAGTACGTACATGAGCCCGTAGCATGTGGAAAGGGGTTGTCGAAAGAAAATTTGGATGTGAGAGAATTGGGTTGACCTCAGTAAAGGTGAAGTTCTTATGGGTTTGAGTTGTTGAAGGCCATTTGGATAGTGGAACCATGAGGGAAAGGAAAAAAAAAATATAGGTAATATCATTTTCTCTTATTTGGTTGTAGTTGGAGAACTGTGAAGAAAAGAAAATATGAAGGGAAAAGTAGACGTGGATTTTTATTACTTTGGAGTACCTACATTTCCTCACCAAATAGTAAAGAAATATGGGAAACCTGTTCGGAAAGGAAATCATTATTTTCTTACCAATTTTTTTCCCCCCCATTTTTGTTTCTCTTTGTTTTTCATTTCCTTCCCACTTTTCTTCACAGTTTCTGAGAACCAAACAGAGACTAAAGAGTTATTAACCGTGCCTTCTAGATATGTTTTTTGCCATCATTCTCACGTTTTTTTTGGGCAAGTGATATCATTCACACGTTGCAACCAAAGGAACGTTGAGAAAGAGAGAACAAATTTACTAGGTTAAATAACTAACAAGAAACACTGTTTTGGCAGAGTTCGATATGAAGTGTATGTGCCAGTCACTGGATTCTTTTTTATAATTTTTCCTGCCCAAGACAATAGTGCTGCATCGTAGTGAAATTTGCTTTTCTAAAGGCATATAGACTGAAGCTACACTTCCTCTGGCAATTGCAAATTACCTCTAATGTAAAAATCTGTTTTCCATGTCAAGTTATCTTTTAACAATTTTCCTATTTTCACTGTTGAGTTGTGTTATTTCTTTATTTGCAATTATGGTAACAAATAAAAAATTCTCTGCAGCAACTCAAGGAAATTTTGGCAAAACAGGCCGAGTTGGGCTGCGAAGTTGCAGAAATACCGCCGTCCTATCTTTCAGATTCAGAGAAACAAGTGAATGGAAGGGAAGTGAATCAAAGGCCAATGACTAAGAAGGAGAGGTTCCAAAACAAGTTCAACAAAAGAGGAAGATTCCGTCAAAATGACCGGCTTGCCAAGAAGCAAATGTTAGCAGACCATGATTCATGTAATGTGCATGATCAAAACAACCGGTTTCTCAAGAAGCAAAAGTTAGCGGATAACAGTTCATCAATACCATCTACTTTGAGCAAGAGGGAGCCAACTTTTTTGCAGAGGCTTCTAGGTGCAGATATTAGGAGAGATAAAACTCGTTTGCTGCAGGTTTTGAGGTTCACGGTGATGAATTCTTTCTTCAACAATTGGCCTAAGGAGCCTCTGAGATTCCCCTTGGTATTAGTTAAAGAGACTGGGTGTGACGGTGATGTGGTTGAAGAGAAATCCTCAAATACGGGGAGAGGTGTTTCTGAAGGAAGTAACAACACAAAGATTGAAGCATATGAGGATGTAAATGATGAAGATGTCAACAATGGTGGTGGTGACGATGACGACAACAATGTCACTAATGAACATGATTCTCATGTTCAAGAAGTTGGTCATTTTACTAGTTTAAAAGGTTGTACTAGAAAGGAAACTAATGAATGTGAGGAGGAAGAGGGAGAAATTATCGACTAGTATCCCTGTCTGTGTATAATGAACCATTTCTGGAAACAGAATTGGGCAACCTAGTGGTTTTAATTTTTGTTTTTAATTAATTTATTTATTTATTCCTCAAATTGTGTTTGTAATATGTCTTTACAAATGGAAAGAAATTGTTAAAACATTCCTGGAAACAGTATTATGCAATTTATATTTATTATGGTATGGGATTTTCTATGGAATGTCAAAAGTAATTCCATTTAGATGTCTCCTTGGTACTACTCTGAACAGAATGTTTCCTGTTGGTACAAATCAAATAGGTTCTCAACTCAAAATATAGATGAATATAAGGCACTTCAATTGGCTCTCAAAAGACCTTTCATATTTTGAAATTCTCAAATGTGTTCTCAAATATAGCAACTTTCAAATGGCCTTTAGCAATTGGATGAAAATAGGCACTCCAATGGGTTTTCTCAAAAAGCCTCTCATATTTTGAGATTGTCAAAAGTTGCTAAAATAAAAATAAGGCATTCCAACGGGCTTTCAAAATATTGTATGATTGTTGTGTCAAAAAATAGTTTTTTTGGATGAAATGCACTATTATAGCAGAATTGCAAAAATATAGTTCCTTTCAAAATATAAATTTGGCATGAAAATATAACATTTTGCATTGAAGAAGCTACTGGTAGCATAAATTCTACACACACTGTGTACAACCTGTAGGATTTTATATGAGACTTCACACACACACGCTCTGATGATATATTGATATGGTTCCCATGCTGAGTATTTATTTACAGATGACATGTTTTGATTGATTGGAACAAGTCTGCACCTTTTAGAGATCACTAAAAAGTTCATCTATTTATAGTACTCAGTATATCAGAGTATAGGATTTAGGAGTTTTGTGCGGGCGTCTTTTAGAGTTATTTCATTAATTTTTATTTTTATTTTTATTAGTATCATCACTTGTGTAATTTGTACGTCTAACTTTGTGATTTCTGAGTCTCAAACTTGGACAAAAGCATATCATCATGAGGATTAATCTTTCCAGGAATAAGAAGTAAAATTTTTTCCATTCGTGTAAAACTCAATCAGGATGCACTGAATTTGAATTTGGTTGCAGGGAGAGGGGGACTCGAATATGGGACACCCACTCAGAGCTAGACGCTCTATCAATTAGACCACCAGGTGATGTCCATTAAGTGCAAATGTAGTTGCATAACAAAAAGTTAATGAGAACTTTTTTATCACTAGGGCTCTGTTTGGTTGAAGTTGAGTCTATTGGGCGGGACATTTTTGTTAGATTTTTTTTTCCCATAAATATTTTAAGATAAGCAAATATATAAAAAATAAAAAAAATATTTTACACACAAACAAACAAAGTGGAGCTTGATGTACTTTGTTAATCATTCATGTCATGGACAGAAGGCAATATTTATTTACAGCATGAATTAGTATAGTATATCTTTAACCACACAAGATTGTAACATGTAATAATGTAAATCTACTCAAAGAACTAGTGTTTGGCTTTCCCAGAGGACCCAAAGCTGTAGGCGATATAAGCAGCCCCAAGAGCCACAGTCACCAGAGCAGCAACACCCATATTCACAATCAATTGTCTCTCCTTTTTTTCATCATTCTCTTTTCTTCTCTTCTTAGCAACCTCTACAATAACATTTTCAGCCACCGCTGGTTCTTTTCTTTTCTTCGGCATTCTTCTTTCATTTGGCTTCTCTTCCGTTTGTTTTTGGTTACCAGCACCGGAAATCGCCTTCAAAGGCTCTTGGTCTTGACCCCTTTGAGCCTTTGGAGAGGCTGAAGTACTCCTCTCATCTGTTTGTTTGTTGTCATTTTGAACCTTTGGCGGGATTGGGTGGACACTCTTGGTATCCCTTTGCTTTGCCTTTTCATTTTCCAAATCAGCTTTGGCTTGAATGTCTTCTTGTGGACCCTTCTCGGGCTTCACTGGAGCAATCTTTGGAGGGCTCAAAGGGTGGACAATCTTGGTATCTCTTTGCTTCGCGCTATCATCTTCCAAATGATCAGCTTTTGCTTTAAAGTTTTCTTGAGGAGCCTTCTGATCAGGCTTCGCTGGAGCAACCTTTGGAGGGCTCATTTTCGGAGGGCTCAAAGGGGGGCGGACAATCTTGGTATCTCTTTGCTTGCTCGTGGCCTCTTGAGGGCTCCGAGCAGCTTCTTGGGTTGCTCTGGCTTCGACTCTAGGGCTAACCTGGGGCTGAGGGATGCTTTTCCTCGGTATTGTAATGGAAAGTATTCCGCCCTCAAACTTGGCTCGGATTCCTCCCAGGTTGGAGTTCTCTGGAATAGGAAAATACTCCTGGAAACGGCTCCATTTGTTCGTCCCAACTAGGCGCTCCCCACGAACCCTAAGAGTGTTCTGACCTTCTGCAAGAACCTTCATTTGCTCCTTGATGAAACCTGGAAAATTATACAAGAAACAGAAATGCCAATATACATATACATATGAGAAACACTATATAGCTCCATGGTTCAAAGACATGTGCACTAGATATTAAGCAAGAGATAAAAGATTCATGTAGCCAACTTTTCCAATGAGCAAAATCAAAGAGTGAACACAATTTCTGGATTAGGAGGAGGGGGATTCGAACACTAGTACACCCACTCGGGGAGGGGATTCGAGAACAACCCAATTCCTGATGCAAAATTAAAGATGGTGTGCTCAACTAAGTAATTTTCTGAAAATATATACCCATGAACTGAGTTCACGGATTTAAAAACGGAAATAGGCTCTTAATGTTGAGATAAGGCTGTGTACATTTGACTCTCTTCAGACCTTACAACGGTGGTAGTCTCGTACACTAAACTAACCCTTTATAATTTACATGAATTAAAAACTTTTCACGAGTACTACTACATCTAAGTTGATGATAAATTATTAGATGATTTCGAATCATAACTCGTTTAAGAACTAATGTTTAGATTTTTCTATATCTTATTAAACTCTTATGAGAACCGCGTGCATGTGACATGCATGCACTAGCTATTTGTGCAGTGTACGTACCGGGAAGATAAACAAGTAGTATATCAGCTCCTTCTTCTTCTTTCCATTCTGAGAGGGGCTTAAAATCTTCATGCATAGGATGAGACGGCATGGTTCCACTGGTTTGCAACGTTCTCATTGCCATTTCTGTTCCTCTAGCTCTTTGCTTTGATTTTCCTCTTCCTCTCTATGAACAAATTATAAAACTGTGTAATGTTGGACGAAATTGTTGGTTAGGCACTGTGTGTGTATATATATATATATGTGTATGTACATGTAAGACTTACACAAAGTTATTAGCTTTGTGTTTTCTTAAAAATGAAACTATTCCAATTTGGTTGCTTTGGTGCATGTTGTGTTTGTGGTCTTCTTTGGGTTTGTACCTTAGCCCAAGGATGACGTTATCTTGATTTTCTTGCGATGAAGTAAAAAATTCTTTGCTTGCCCTGTACTCATAGCAAAGGCATGCAAATAAAAAGTTTCCCAAATCCTGCAGAGAGATTGACCTCTTCCGTTATTTATCTCATTAGTCCATAAAAAAAATAATTATAATAGTAATAATACTTTTTTGAGTTAATTTCACTCACACCCTCTTAAGTTTAGCCAAATATCACTCTCAAATATTTTTCGAAAATAATTATCACTCGCATAACAAAATTTTGTTCCATTTTTCACTAACACCCCAACCGTTAGTTGAACAGTGCTAACACATTGTAAAATGACTTAATCACTCTTTGAATTTGTCAAACGAATCCTTTACCTTAAAGAATTAAATTAAAAGACTAAAATACCCTAAAAAGTTGTAAATTTACAAATTATATATATATATATATACACACACACAATTACACACACAGAGACAGAGACATATATATACACACACATTACAGAGACATATATATATATACACACCTTCAATTTCAGTCTTATCTTTGATGGTTAGATCTGACATCCCCTAAGAATTTCATATTACACATAGGTTCTTGATTAGGCAATTTTCTGTGTCTTAGGAAATCATGTGAGGATATTTAATGTACACTTTTGAAGATTGGGTATGTTGAAGCAAGCCCTACATGGAACGAAAGCCTTGACATCGCGGGCTGCATTTCTCTTTAAACACCTCTCCCTCTTCTTTTCTCTCTCTTCGCAGTGTTGTCAACATTTGAAGATCAAATTCTTGAAACCACCCTCCTCTCTCTAAATTTTTCTCTCTCTAGAAATGTTGGGATCTATATGGTGTAAGATCAACAGATAGACGAAAGATTTGACACTTTGATCTGCAAAACCTTCTTCAGATCTCTCTCTCTTTCTACTACAATAATTTCGAATGTAAATGGGGGCATACAGAGCAGACGTACGTTTACGATTACTTGTTCAAAGTGATTCTCATCGGCGACGCCTGAGATATTTTAATTAACCACCACGCCATCAAATAAAAATAAAAAGACACGGCAACACAAGCAGGAAATCATGTGTACCTCAGTGATATGATATCCAATTGATCCGAATCGAAGGGCTTCACAATTTCCTCCCCGTGAAGTCCATAAAAAATTCCCTTGCCTGGGTTGGTAGTTGGGTGTGGGTATTATGGTCATTTAAGTAATCTCATATTTTGAAATAAAAGGTATTAAAAACTCAAGGGTAAAGTTGTCTTTTTTCATGTATTTAACAGAATATTTAACGGAAAATTAGAAATGGACCTAAATGATAGTTATATTCGAAAGATATTTGAAGGTGATATTTGGCCAAACCTGAAGGGGTGCAAGTGAAATTTTTTTTTTTTTTTTGGCAAGGCAAGAAATTCAGTGTAAAATGTTGTAGGTGTTGAATATATCTCACTTCATATGACCCACGTTTTTTGGTCAAACGGTCAACGAATTATGACACATCATCAACAATGACCCACAAAGCTTGGTCAAATGGTTAACAAGCGACGCTACATCATAAACGATGGCCCACAAGTCAAACGGTCTAAGTTACGTGACACTTACCACGTCAGTATACCTCGAACAGAATATCGAAGATTTGAAGAACTGAGTTGGAAGCAGGAACAGAAGGCTGCTCCCTATAATCACGGGGAGTAACCCACCGCTAAGGCAGGATAACATTAGCTTTTTTTTTTTTTTCTTTTAGCGGCAATAATTACACACACCACTCATACACTTATTTGTTCTTTAAGAACTGAAACTTCTCATCATCCACTTTGAAAGGTAAATGAATTATCACTAAGCTTTATAATAAAAACTCCATCGCTTACCATTCCACTTATTAATTAGCAAACATTTTCTATCTAAGCTTTATACGAGTATTTATTTAAACACTAAAAGGTACCGAGTCTAAATCAATATGATTATATGAGTTATTTTCATGTAAATATTAGATCTAATCCTTCAAGAAATCTTCGACGATTGGTATCGGACCAATCATTATTTGACACATACATAAATGTGTAAACTTTATTTAATTTACTTGGTATCAAATAGTGATTTACCGTGACCATATAAAAAAAAATTCCTTCGCCAAAAGTATAAAATTATGCAAGAAAATTTACAATACTTCGAGAGTACCCCTCCCAATGAATGCCCTTTAAAAGGGTATTATGTCGCAACATACCTCCGAGTATTGTAGACTTTTTGGACCAATTCAACAAACCTCGGAGTTAGGAGCCCAAATTAAAAGGCCTGTTAGGAGCCTATGAGCAGCTATCTCCAGACTTGGCATGGACTTTCAAAAAGTTTCAGGCGTGATCTTCTGAAATTGCTGGTGGGCACAGCCTGGCCTAGAAAATTGTAAGCCAGGCTTTCCTGGCCGTTGCTGGCGTTAATATTTATTATTTTTTAAGTTAAAAATATTATTTTATTCTTTAAATCTTTTTTATGGATTGTGTATAGCATGACTATATTATATAAATATGAACACGTTTGATCCGAGAGGCCTTGGCACAAACAATAGCATCTCAATAATATCCAAATTGTTCTATCACTCACTTATTTATTATTTTATTATTAACACTCGTAAGGGTGTATTCCATTGCATGAAATTAGAATTGAACCATAATTTTATTTGTGTGATCGTATGTGTTGTTGGGCATGCGGAATTACAATTTTTTTTTTTAAGATACGGACGAATATTACATGTAATGACCCGGTCATTTACCTTCTTTTCCTTTTTTCTGAAATTTTACGGATAATTTTTTTTCGTTTAATTCTTATTTCTCGAGTGCTCAGAATTGGCTTCTGAGACTCTTTCGTGTGAATTGACAATTTCCTTTGAGGACCAAGTCATTTTCGCATTTTCACTTTTCGGGACACTATCACTTTTGTCCTTTTCCTTATTTCGTACTTTTCCCTATTATGTCTTTTCCCCGTTTGCCAGTTTTTGGCACAACCTCACTTTTCATGCTCGGAGTTGGTTTTTGACTTCACGTGTCTTCATCTTCAGTGGTTTTCTCGAAATACGTATCTTTACTTTTGCAAGAAAGTACTCTGGTTGTCCCCGGTGTCTATAGGGGTATGGATGCACAATTCTTTGGAATTATTTTCTTTTCTTGGGGTGTTTTTCGTAAATATCTTATGAAGATATTTTATTTCAGGAGTATCTAAGAAAATATCTTTTGGGAGATATTTTCATTCTCGGGTAGTTTCGCAGTTAACCCTTTTTGTAGGGGCCATTGTGCAATTAACAAAAGTTACTGCAAAATATCTCATCTGGACCCTAGATCCTCGTACGGGATTCATTTTCACTTTTCGTTGACTCGTAAATTCATAGAATTTCCTTCTGGTCGTTTTTCTCCAGTTTTAGAGTTTCTGGACCCTATTGCGGCCGAACTTGTTCGGAGCATAACTTTCTGCTCGGGACTCAGTTTTCGACGTCGTTTCTTCCATTATTCATATTTTCTTATTTTGAATCTTTTTCATTCATGGAGTTTTGCCGTTTGAGCGTGTTTGCTCAAAATCCACTTTTCCGGACCCGGCGGGTCCCGTTCGGGGCACTTTTTGAGATTTCTATAAAAGGGGGATGAGATATTTCATTCTTCATCATCCCCACTCCCCTTGCATGACCTGAAGCAGCCATGGATGCCCATGGAGCTGCCACCTTCTCTCTCCTCCTTTGATTTACTTTTCGTAAGTGAAAAGTCTTCGGCTTTCACGTTTTTTGTTTCCCTCGACGTGTTCTACTATTCCCCCTTATTAAAATTCATTTTTAACCATTTCTTGAGTTTGGGTTTGAAGTTAAGTTGTGATTTTCATGGGGCTTCCTTCGGATTCATGTAGATCGTGTTGTCCCCGACAAAACTCTTCGGTTTCAGCGGATTTGGAACACTTTTTTTTCGGTGGGCCTTTGAGGTTTTCATCTCAAATTGAGGTATGGGGTGTTATAATTTATTTTCTTACTATATTACATGCTTGTGATGCTTATACAACTTGATTACATGCTTGGATATAAAATCTAAAGATTTTATTATTTATTTATCTTGTGAAGGATTTAATTTTTCCGGTTGTCCATAACTTTGTTTAATCATGTGGCATGATAGAATATTACCCCTTAATATGTTGATTGACATATATTAAATTTAGATCATTTGGACAAGTATTGAAAATTTTATTTAATATTTATCTTGAATAAAATATTAAATAATGTGATCTTAACTAGCTTGAAATCAATATGTGTTATCATATTATATTAGGCCTTGGCATGCTCTTCAACATAGGTGAATTTGAGAGAAATTGGAAGTGTTTTGAAATCTAGTAATATTTAATTAATTAGATTAATTAAATTGCTCCAAGTGTACTATTCATCCCGTTAGAATTTCGATTTGAAATTCTTGATGTGCATGTCATGTAGTTTCATATATATTAAATCTAGAATATTTGATTAGGTTTTGAAACTTTTCAATTATTATTTTTCTAGTATTAAAGTTTAATACACATGGCCGTAACTTGCATAGAATGTACTTGTATCATACTCTTAAATCAAGTCTTGACATGTTTAATAATATACATTAATTTGAAATTATTTGGACGAGTCCCAAAATCTAGAGATTTTAATTAAATGAAATAATTAAAATCCATTCAATGGTTCTATGCACTTGATTAAGTTTCTAACCTTGTATTCATAATTTCCTTGATAAGTTCCTTCACGTGTGTTACATTGAGCATAACCGGATAAGTGTTGAAACTTATATTTAATTAATTCACTTGTATGGAATTTAATTCACATGGTTGCATCTTGTATGTAATGGACTTGTAACTTGACAATGAACTTGGCCTTGACATGATCCTTGAAATAACTTGTTCGTAGAACATTTTGACTCACCTT